AATCAGATGTTCAGCAAACTCTCCAACTATCTCCTTATGTCTCCTCTATAAGTTTAATAGCATTCTAAAATTGCTTTACTGAGATATCTTCCTTGTTCTCACTGTCGAACCTCCCATAGTCATAAGGTAGATAAGTATAGAACAATAAATATCATCACAGTTCTCCAAATAAATGTTGTTTACTTTTCTAATCAAAAATTTTCCCAGAGTTGTAGAGTATATTTTCCTTCATCAGTAGATGATGCTCTCAGCTTAGGTTTCAGCGTTGTCTCAGTTCTAATAGTATTAAATCCAATTTAAATTCAATTTATAAGAGCAAAGTCAATTAATAAAGTATTATGTATGGGCGTGTCGACTAATCCCCCACAAGAATTCCTAAAAGGGGCTTGTGATCTGTAATCAGGAAAAAGTGGTGGCTGTAGAGGTATTCATGAAACCTCTTTACGCCTGCGATGGCCGCCACACCTCCTTATCAACCTGACTATAGTTACGTTCAGTGGTTGATAAGGTTCTCGAAAAATATGCTTTAGGGGCTTCTTGACCTGAGGGCAGTAAGTGAGCTGGCACAGCCCCTATACCGTGTGGGGAGGCGTCACAGGTGAGGGTCAAGGGCAGCCACTAGTCATATTGAATGAGAATTGCTGATGACATCAGTAAACATTTGACAGCAGCGAAGGCATGTGCCTCCCGTGGCCCCCACTGCCATACAGCCTCACCGTCCAGAAGTCTGTGCAGTGGCTCCGTTATAGTGGCCTTATGTGGTAAGAAAACTGCATAAAAATTCAGGAGACTCAGGAAAGCCTATAATGCACCTTTAGATTTAGGCGTGGGTGCCTTATGAATGGCCTCAACCTTAGCCATCAATTAGAAACCCAAGGAATTCCACAGAGGGAACCCCTAATTGACACTTGCTTCTCTTGAGTCTCAGCCCCGCTTTTCTAAAACGACGCAAGACGGCCCATATTTTGACAATTAGATCAGATTGGCCATTAGTAGCAATCAACATTTCGTCAAAATAGAGGACCATCCCTTCAAGTCCTTGGAGCAGCCAAGGGGCAACACAAACCCCAAATTGCAATCTTTTGCAGTGAAAAGCTCCTTTGTGCGTTACAATAGTTTGAACATTGGCAGAGGCATCATCAACAGGCAACTGTTGATACACCTGGGCCATGTCCAACTTGGCAAAAGTTTTGCCGTGTCCCAACGAATGCAGAAGATGTTGTACCACTGGTACAGGGTACAGGCTGACTTGCAATGCCTTATTAATTGTTGAGCGGTAATCCGCGCAATCCTGATCCACCCGTCGGCCTTCACAGGGATGACAATTGGAGTCTCCCACTGTGCATGGTCGACAGGCTCTAAAATCCCTTATGCAATTCATTTGTTTAATTCTGCCTCTACCTTGGCTTTTAAAGAAAAAAGGACCTCCTAGCCTTTAGTCGAATTGGAGCTACCCCTGGATCCAAATTAAGGATGATGGGGGTTCCCTTATAATTACCCAAAGAGCTAGAAAACACATCAGAGAACTCAGAAATGAGATCATCAAAGTCATCAGTCACAGTGGAATGGATGCCATCAATGGTGAGCCCTAGGGGCTGGAACCAGTCAATGCCCAGCAAGGTGGCAAGCGGTTTGGCAACTATGACTAAAGGTAGAATGACCCTTGAAGGCGTTGTGTTCAACCAGGACTGAAGCCATTCCGACATTTGTCTCTGCTCCTCGTTGCCAGTATTATATTCTCTGTGGTAGTGATAAACGACTGAGGCAATTCTGCATTCAACTGTCTTTATTAACTCAGGACATTATCATAACAGAACAGAACCCCTTGGTTTGACAGCTATTTATATGGTAGCTGTCAAACCATTAACCAATTAGAATGCTGCCATTCTCCGCCAGAACACCTCCGCGCGCAAGCCAATAAAAACCCTCATCCTGCTTGAGTGACACTGCCCGGTCGTAACTCAAGTATACAACATATAAAACAGCTTTTCTAAGATGAAAATGATTTGTTTACATAAAAGCTGAAGATATAGCAAAAACCATAGCATTTAAAGTAAAATAAAATATGAAAAAGCAAAGCTTTTTCAGAAATGAATATGTATAGTGATATCAGCAATAGCTAAACACAAGTATTTGATTACTTATATACTAGAAAATGTTTGATATTCCTGCTATGTGAAACACTAAACTTCAGCCCTGTTTTAAGTACTTTAGTGCAAGCTGTCCTTTCTTTTTTTATTCAAATGTATTTGGCTTACTGAAATAGAACAAAGTTATCTCAAGATTGTCTTCAAAAAGTTGAAATGCCACAGCCATGAAAGAACAGTTTTCTATTCCTCGGGTTTTGGTGATTTCACTGGTCAACTCCTACTGTAATTAAGTTTGAACTAAGTCAAAGATGGAAAAGCTGTGGCTCCAGGGGTGCATGCAAATCCCAATCATTCCCCCCCCCTGCTATTTCAAGATAATGTAAACCCTATTGTAAACTTAACACAGATTACAAAATCAAAAACCTCTCTCCGACTAAAATATTCCTGACAGTCCTGACCAAACCCATCTGAGTGCTTTTGTATTGGCCATTCTGTATCATCTGTCCCCTCACTGTGTTATTCTTTCTTCACAAAAAGGAGCCTTTAAGCTATCAAAAAACCTATTCTGTCATTCTCCTTCTCCCTCTCCTACTCTTCCAAAATGTCTTCAAGAACTAGTGTTAGGAGGCAGAAGAAAATGCTGAGGAAAAATGTAATCCTTTTCTTCTGCTGTCAGCGACATAGATTCGTGGTCCTGTTTGTGAGACCATTGAGATCAAAATCCCAAACACTAATGGACACTAATGGAACTTTTCTATTTTCATGTTTTTATACATACTGTTCTATGGTTTAATCCTTCCTCCATAACAGATGTATTACTTTTTAACAATAAAAATGTGAAGCGCCATGTAGCGAATGTTCATCTCAAACTGCATCTCTTGTGTTCTTTTGCTGTAATTAATAAGGTGGAAACACAATTGCAGTAATTTGGATAACTTCATTTTAAATTTTTTTAATAAACCAATGGACAAGAGATTTTATGTGGAAGTCTTCTGTGTTAGGACTATTGTTCACAACAATAGAAAATGTGAACTCAAGACATTTCTCCTAACAAATCTGCACTGAATTATTTTTGGCCCAGATAAACATTAAACCCCCTAGCCATAAATAGACATGAACATATTTTAATTTTCTTTTCTTAAAACTAACCAGATTTAATTTTACTTCTAAGAGCATATAGAGCATATAAAGTTCAAAATTATTTGACAGCGAACATACATACTGTAGTATTGTCATTAATGTCTTGTATATTAGGAGAAAGTTCCATCATATTTCCTGGAACATATTTTCTGATAAATATCTAGGGTTGCAGGATAAGATTCCATTCCTAAGTTATCTTAATATTTGAAGCAGTTGTTGGAAGAAATGTCCTTCTGGGTTCAGCTCCAAGTGGGGAAAAAGACACTGGAGACATAGAGGCTGCTTNGGAGGAATATTACTGTTTCCAACATTGGGCAAACGTTATTCTGGCTGTAGTCAACAAGTATATTAATATATATTTAATATTTTTTCTATATTTCCTCTTGGTTATTCCCAGCAGAAAAAGTTCCTGTTTATATTGTTTGTTCCTCTGTAATTTGTTGTATCCATTTCCAATTTAATCTGATACTTTTGGGTTTCTGGGCAGGTCCAGACACATTGTAATTTCAAATCGGCCACTAAGTGACTGGTTGTAAATTAAGGTCTATTGTATTGAAATATAATTATTTTCTGCTCCTAACTTGAATTTTAAATTTTATATTGATAACTCCATATTAAATATGAGAAAACTTAAGAAAATTGTTATTTTAAAAAAATTTAAGCATCAAATAGCCACTATATTACAGGAACAGACCTTTCTTCTAAAACTAGGAAACTTGAACATGCAATAATCACAGCTATTAAAATCCAATTATTACTCACATTTGTCTAAGCATAATTCCCAATTCCACTGTTACTTTTCATTTGACTGATAGTTCAAATACATCTATGAATAGAAAATTGAAAGCCTGTACTTTTCTAAGAATAAATAAAACTTCTTATACCCTGTACACAGAAATCTTCTATTATAAATTCTTCTGACATACCCACATCTCTGATGAAATTTTGAGGTCTGTGTCCAGTGTCCACAAAATGCTGACAGTAATCATTATGAGGATTTAAGCTCTGTGTCCCCTAAGAGAAGAAAATCACCTAAGAATAAACATTAGCAAAATAAAGCATATCACTTATACACTGATTTGATATTATCACCTGCATATGGTTATCCATGTCTCCTAGACTCTTAACTATTATTCCAGATTGCTCATATAATAATTTATTTTAATAATGACTCTGGACAATATATTCCATTTCTCCTTTATCAACAGACTGCATTAATTATATACTCAAGATAATGTATTTTTCTTTAGCACATAAATGCCCAAAATGAGGAACAGCTATTTTTGAGTGAAATGTTTTCTCTGATTTCCATCAAACCATCATTTGGTACAGAGATGCTTCTGTATTGAGGGCAACTCTGAAATATTGTTTAAGTTAGCTACATTGAAATAGATGCATCTGTAATCAGTTTTATTGAACTTAAAAGCATATTCAAATCCTAAATTTGTGTAACCAGAGATCTCAATAATAATATTCAAGTGGAAAGTAGAACAATAAAGTTGAAATATTTTGTAAATTTATTTTCAACCCTTTTTGGTCATATAAAAACTAAAGACCTCTGAATGTAAAAATAAGATATAACATGCAATACAATACAAATTTAAAAAGTAAATATAAAAATGTAATACCTTTAAAAATCATAACCGCTATTTACCTTAAGAAATGTACTGGAATCTTTGTAAATTTCTTCTTCGTATGGTAGATTCTCTTCATCTTGTTGAAGCTCCACTTCATCCTTTGGAATAAAGCACATTTTATGTGTGTGTAGAAACAGGATGTTTCTCTTCTCATTAGCATTCCGCTTCTTAATGAAGAAAGAAGACGGCTGTCTATGAATACTGCCTCCCTGAAACAGCAGATCATGAGTAGTCCCAGTGTAAGTCTGGGAAACCAGTCAATGAACCAATTACATTTTCCCAAAAAACACTCTTTAACCAAGAAAAATAAAATTTAAAATGATTTTAAAAAACCAAATGTTTTAATATCATATACTTTCTCTTTTCAAAGTTGGTTAATAATGCACCTAACTATTGCTACTTAAGAAGGATTTACTTATTTATTTAGATTCATCCCCTGCCCTTTCTTCAGGAGCTCAAGGCAGCATGCGTTGCGCTCCATCCTATTTATCCATACAATTTCGCAGAACTGAGTGAGGATAAGAAGCCTAAAGTCCTCTGTTTAACTTCTGGAGCTGAGAGTGAGCTTCCCTAGTGACAATCCAATATCTCAACCACAATACTACACTGGATCTCATGGAGAGCGTATCAGAAGGCAAGTGGATCTTTCTAACTCTTCATGTATTTTAGATGATCACATCATCTTGTGATTTGGTGCCATAGCTGGTTGGTGTTTGTTTTTTTTTCTTCATAGTTCTATTACAGGTAGTCTTTGACTTACAACCACAATGGAGCCATCTGTTAAATGAATTTTGCCCCATTTTATGACCTGTCTTGCCAGAATTGTTAAGTGAATCACTGAAGTTAACAACACAGTTGTTACGTGACTCTGGCTTCCACATTGATTTTTCTTATAAGGAGATTGCAAAAAGTGATCACATGACCATTAATCAGTTGCCAAGCATCTGAATTTCAATCATGTGACCATGGGAATACTGTAATAGCCATAAATGTGAAAAACGGCTATAAGTCACTTTTTTCAGTGCTATTGTAATTTTGCAGCAGCTCACTACATGAGCTGTTGCAAATCAAGGATTTCCTGTATTTAAATCACCTAGAACAGGGGCCTGCAACCTTGGCAACTTTAAGACTTGTGGACTTCAACTCCCAGAATTCCTCAGCCAGCAAAACTGGGTGTTGAAGTCCACAAGTCTAAGTTGCCAAGGTTGCAGGACCCTGACCTAGAATCTCTATTGTGAATGGGGTGCTAATTTTTTCTATGTATGTATGTATGCATGTACATATGTATATTCCTATAAATCAATAAATTTTATTTGTTCCTTATGAAGAATACATCATACCTATTTATAAGATTCAAAAATAATGTCCTTTCTAAAGAGAAAACCAACAAAAATGTTTATAAAGCTTTGCTAAAATACTTTTAAATATTTACAATAAGATCTTTTAATGTAAGTATTTAAGATTTTGGGCATGTAAGATGATTCTTATAAGAAAGATTCAAATCATGTTTCTATTTTTGAAACAGATTTGTCTTTTTTCTTTTTTAAAGTCACTTTCTTACTTTATATTCTTCTATTTCTTCTTCATCAGCTTCTCCCTCATCAGGATATCTACGTTTAGAATTTGGAGCAGATGTATCATAAGCAGCCCTAGAAATATGAATATTGTATGTTAGTTTAAAACAAATTTCATAAGATGCTATGAAAAGTTAATTTAAGATGTGCTGATCCTTGTTGTACTGCCTCTAGGACTATATTTTTTATAAAAGTATTGTAGGCAAACTGCCAACAGATTGGAGTTTAGTCTTGAAAGGACTCAAAGATCTTTACATCCTTCTGAGGTCGGTAAAACGAAGACACAGATTGTTGTGGGCAATAGTGCTGTAAAGCACTATAGGGCCTTATATAAGCCTTAATGCTATTGCTATAAAAAGAATTATGGGATTCAGTAGCCTTTTAGCAAATAAAAAAGGATTGAAGTAAGGCAGTCCCTTCAAAGAACTCATAGTCCTGAAAAAGATTCTCCCTTATTTCACTAAGATTTCAAGATAATTGATTTCAGGAATTGAAATCATAACTCTGAAAACAAAATGACATTTTAAACTCTTTATATCATATTCATATTATGTACATATTATACACACACACACACACACACACACACACATACTACACACATATGAATGAATTTTCAACATATAATCTTTTCTTCTGTGTTGTTATATATTTATGATATTAACTATTGTAATTCTCTTCTGAGTAACTTTTCATTGCATGTCTGATGATACAATGGTATCCCTACATAAAGCCTTATCACAGATTTACTAAATATTTAGCTAGATATACATAAATGTCTACATTTTACTGGGGACTCAGATTGCTGGGGGCAATATGCTGACTGTGTAAACCGCTTAGAGAGAGCTGTAAAGCACTGTGAAGTGGTATTTAAGTCTAGGTGCTATTGCTATATAAAATTAATAAGATTCATATCACTATGCATTACTAGAGGCACAAATATATCAAATAAAGTAAATAGAATAGAACAGAACAGAATTCTTTATTGACCAAGTGTGATTGGACACCCAAGAAATTTGTCTTTGGTCCATATGCTCTCACTGTACANAGTTCAGCTAATGTGCAATCCAGGCTATTTAGTATTTTTAAAATTACACACAATGAGCCCTGGGATTCCTACTCATGAGACCACCAGTGCAACATATCCTGCTTTACTGGGCAATGGGGCAGCATTATTTTTGAGTCAGTCAGGGCTCAGGTTTTGAAGATCCTTTCCACTACTCTTCAAGTGGGGGAATTATCTGAGGAGAATTGACCCTCCCCTATGGGATTAAAAGGGAGATATCACTGCTTAGGCTTTTTTGTGCCAGGGCAAAAATCAACCCAGGAGAAGCTTTGTGTGGAGTTGTCAAGGAGATAGTTTCAATCTAATTCTGAATGCCCCCCCCCTCTTTCTGTGTGTGTGTAGCTGCTTCTACAATTCAGAAAATACAGACATTTTGGACAAATTTTCCCTCCCACTAGACAGAAATCTAAGGTGTTCAGAACTTGCTGGGCTAGCCATTCTCAAATATAATTCTTACATGAATACATTAAAGTGTTAAAATATAAATGAGACAAGAAAGAAAACCTTACAATGAATTTATGTGAAGGAAGCAAAGAAAGAAAACTTTACAATCAATTTCTGTGAATAAAGCAGAGAAAGAAAACCTTATAGTCAATTTACACCCTCCCCATAGTCTTTACAGCTGTCTTCTGGGAATTGAAAAGTCTTTTGGTCTTTACTTCTTCATCTCCTTCAGGGTTCTTTCATGTCTGCTAGGGTGACATGCTTGGTTTGGTGGTAAGGCTAGTGAGTTAGGCTTCACTCTGATTGCTGGACATTCAGAGGAGGACTGGATCCAAACCCAATTCCTGCCTCAAATAGATGGAGGGTCTCCTCTGGAGGCATCTGGATCCATGTGCTCTGCTCATCTGTGCAGGGCTGAAAGACACGGGAACAAGATCTCCTCCCCCACTGAAAAGACATCCTTAGAGGGTTAGAGGTAAGGGAGGGGGTAGATAGCTTAAAGGCAGAGTTTGAGAAAAAAATATGAGTTACTAAACAGATAAACAATATGGGGATATCACAGAGGAGAAAGAGGAGCTGGATTCACATGCTTCAGGAAAGAGACAAACAGGTAAAATAATTTAAACACACAATAAATGCAAGGATGAAAACTTTTATTGTAAATGAACTCAAAACATTCCCTGGTTTGTTACTTCAAAGCACTGAGAGAGAGAAGGAAGAAAGCACACATATTTCTCTTTACTCTGTGCATTGGCCAAACAGACAGAGGAAGGTTCTTTTCTGGGGGGTAGGGGTGCAGTGGGGGGTGAGAGATGTTTTACAGTTACAATTACCTTGAGGGCACACAAAGACTTAGACATACACACAGACAAAGAGGGGATAACAAAACTCATGAGTTTCACAAACACATAATCATTTCCACCATGAATCTCAGTTAAATTGGGGAAGGCACACATCTTAACAAACAAACCACGTGGTTGCATAGAAGACAGAGAAAGAGACAAACAGACAAGAGAAAGAAAGGAACCCCAACATTTTCCCTTTTCTTTTAAATACCTTTATGTAGCCAAATTAGTTTTCCTTTCTTTCAACAAAGCCCATTTTTCTACATATCTGTTTTGCTTTCCTTTTTTTCATTCCAGCCAGGACAGGCATCTGCTTTTCGTCCCAGGCCCCCAACAGCTCCCCTAG